TGAGGATACAGCAGAGGCACTGCAGGCAGGGGCATCTGCCAGCCTACCAAAAACTGTTACAGACAGAGAGGCTGTAGAACTAATCCCAAATCTGTGTTAATGGATCTTGCCACAAAACACCCTCTCTGGTCTTCATTTACTAAGCTGACAGCATGGGAGAAGGGGTGAAGAAACTAAATTCAAATCCTTATTTTGATTTGCTTTCATATTAGTGAATATTTCAGTTTTTAATTGTGGCCTAGCTACTTCAAAACAAGTGCTCAGTGTACCCTTTTTGGTATGATCCAGCTCTCTTAAGTTATCCGTTATGGTGTGAACACTGTTACAGGATTAGAATCACAGAGTGGTTTGGGTTGGAAGGTACCTTAAATACCATCCAGTCGCACCCCCCCCCCCCCCCCCGCCATGGGCAGGGACACCTCCCACCAGACCGGGTTGCCCAAAGCCCCATCCAGCCTGGCCTTGAACACCTCCAGGGATGGGGCATCCACAGCTTCTCTGGGCAACCTGTGCCAGTGCCTCACCACCCTCTAATCTAATATCTAATCTAATATCTAATATCTAATCTAATTGTCCTCTGTTTTAGTTACCCCTTGTCCTATCACCATACTCCCTGACCAAGAGTTCCTCACCACCTTTTCTGTAGGCTCCCTTTAGGTACTGGAAAGCTGCTATGAGTTCTTCCTGGGGCCTTTCTTCACCAGGCTAAATAACCCCAACTTTCTCAGCCTTAAAGTGATGAATTAAAGCTTTTACACTTCTAAAAGAGAAATCTCTTTTTTTTTTCTTTTTTTTTTTTCCCAGAGTAGTTTGGTATGAAGTTATTCCAGAATGATTAGTTGCCCAAAGTCATCATACCGGTAAGTCCTAAGTGAACTTGAAATGAAATTGTTCTGCTTTCCCACAGGAAAAAATATTGTGCTGGTGACATCTAGTGGAATAAAAATGGACATCTTTTGTTTTTGTAAAACAGACAAAAAGACAAAAAAAATATCCCCATTAAAAACAATGTTTTTTTTTTTTGTTTGTTTGTTTGTTTGTTTCAAACTGTATTAATCTGAACCCCATAAAAAGGAAATTTATTTTGTTTGTCTGTACTCAAGAAACCCAAACCAACACTGTGAAACCTCCTTCTGGGAGCTCATGGTCCCTGTGGATGCATGTAAGCATGAAGATTACGATATCATTATTAAGACAACGGAGGTACGTGACATTTATATAGCACATATAACCGTGAAGTGTGGATAAAAAGAAGGAATCTGTAGTGGATTAATCCCTTCCAATCATCTGAATCCCCGTGTTTGCCGTTGTTGTTCTTCCCTATGGCCAGAGGGTGGAGAACTCGGGGTTTCTCTCAGACAGGCCTTCAGCTGGGGCACATCAAGTGGCACTTTGTAGTAATACAGCTGCCCAGTTTTTAGTGCTAGGTGCTTTGCTTCCTGGATCTTGCCAGTTTACTAAATTTAAACAGATTTGGTTGGGGAAAGAAAAACAAACAAAAAAAAAAAGTAAAAATATCTGTCCTATGGGGACAGCTGCTATGAGTACCCACCCTGCAGTTCGCTGTAGGCAGGGTTCCTGGTGACTAAATACATAACAACCTGGTTAATATACTTAGCAGGAGAGACAGGGATTGGGGATTGCCTTTTTCCCTCCATTCATAAGTACACGAGGCAATCTTAGTAGCTGCCCATGGCTATAACAAATGTAATTGGGCTGTAACTGTACAGCTATGCCTTGTTTTTTGAAGCCTTTTGAGCACTGACTTTCAGTCCCTGCTCTCTTTCCTTCTGGCTGAGCATCCTGTCCTAAGCTCCCTGGTAGCCTGCCCAGGTCTTATTGATGTTTCCCAGACAGAGTGGCAGCCTGGTGCAGCACCCGACCTCTGCAGCCCCTGGCCTCTCTTTGTCATGGCTTTGAAAACCCTGCTCAGTCACAGCCCTTGTGAGCAGTAGGTCCACTGCATTTAAGATCTACTTGCAGCAAACCCCAGTGTAAATAGCATTCTCTCCATAAACACTGCTAGGAAAAAATCTGATTTTGCCTCTGATAGAAAATATATTTACTTGCAAAAGTATTACTGACACCTCCTCCTCCTCCATTGTGCCTCCTACCAATGGCTTGAAACTTAGCAAGCTTGATACAAAGATACCTTTGTATCAAGAATGTATGTTTTCCTGTTCCTGCCAAAACCTGCCTAGGTTTGGTTAAATAAGGACTTCAGACATGCACAGGCATGCTAGAGCTTAAAAGCTGAAGTCTTTCAAGGTGCTGTCAGCGAATGCATGCATCCTCCCTTCCCAGCTCCTGGTGTTTGGAGGCTGGACCTTGCCCTTGTCCCTCTTAGGAGGGGAGAGCTGCCCCCGTCCTGCAGTCCCACAGACAGGGCCAAAGAAATGTCACAGCCTGGAGGTAGATGAAAGTCAAGCTCCAGCCCCACCCTGCAGCACGGAGTTGCAGTGAGATGCTGGGGAAGTCACTTATGCCAGGCTTTCTGCGGGAGTTTGTAGGTTTGTAGATGTCTGGTTTCTTAAATGCACAGATAATAATTACAGTAGGAACTCTACTTGAGGAAATACCAACAAATCATGGTCAAAATGGACAAAAATCTGCTGTTGCTTCCAAAATGGTCTGTCCTGGGTCTGCTTCTCTTTTCTGCTTTCTGTTCCACCACTTATGTCATTAGGGCTGTGCATATTACATTTGTGTGGGAGACGACAAACAACACGGCTGGGAGGGTAGCTGCAGGCATGTGGAAGGGCAGGAGAAAAGTTAATGTAGTGAGTTGAAAAGAAAGTGGGAAATAATTCAGTTAGGAAGACTGCAAAGGTTTACATTTAAGTAAGAATAATTGATTACAAATTTACAAAATGGGACCTGATGGGCTGGATAATAGTTCTGCAGATAAGGAACGAGGGACGGTAGTGTACCCTAAGTTATTCATGAGCAGTAATGCTGGCACTGTTGAAAGAAATGTGAGGAGCACATCTGGGACATATAAACAGAAAAGCAACACATAAGAGGCATGAAGAAATCTTTCTGCCTTACTCAGCACCCCTGAGGCCCCAGCTGGCGTTTTGTGTCCAGCTCTGGGCAGCATTCCCCAAAGAGAAGTGTGAGCCAGCGAGGACTCCAGGGGCCAGCAGCAGATAGTCAGTGTCTTCGAAGAGCAGAGGAACAGGCAGTTCTTCGTGTCCCTGGGGACAGAGAGATAAAAGATGGACTAGCCATAGTACAGAGGGTTTAGTCTAAATATCACTCTAACAAGGAGCATAATTAGGCACTGGAAATGACCTGCCTCAGTAGACTGTGAAATCTCTATTTTTAAGAACAGGTTAGACAGGAATGATTTAACTAGAGGGATATCCAGGGAAGGCTGATATAGCTGACCTTTTCTTAAGGCAGGAGGATGGACTAGATGGCCTACAGAGGATGCTGTCAGACTATTCTCTTCACTTTTCACAAGCTGAGATCCTGAAACTTTATTTTCAGCTTTGTTCAAGACTCCCAAGTGCAAACAAAGTCAGTGGAAACTGCCTTTGCGTGTATTAAGACTTGTTTAATGCTAAATGACAAGGGTAGACCTTAGGTTTCTCAGACGGGGCATTTGAATTTAAGGGATATTTTTGAACTCTAAATAATATATCTCAGTTCCCCAACTGTAACACAGAGATAATGCTATCAACACATCTTATTAGCATGCTTTGAAGATTGGTTAATTCAGGCTTTTGAATTTTTTACATATATTACAGTACTATCTAGGATTTTATAGGGAAGAAGTTAACCATATCATCGTGATGGCTTATCTCCATTTACAAGCTTTGAACCACAGACTGGAACAAAACAAATAAAATCAAAATACTGAATAACACTGTAGATTATAAGAGCAGCAGCAGGCTCAGTGGTTTTGCAGTCTGAGCTCTGATGTAACACAGACCACCAAACAATTATTAGCTAAATGTTATCTGCTCTATGTACTGAAAAAGGTGAGGGCGTGTGAAAGAAACTGTATGCAATAATGATATTAAACAATGCATTGTACATATACACAAAAGAGCTGAGTTACAGAGGCATGAATACTCTCTGTCCTTGGGTTTTCCCCACTTCTGCATAACTGCCTTTTACATGTATAATAGTCTTTCTAGGTGTCCTTGTGCATGAAATAAACCTACGCAGTACTCAAATGTAAAGAACATAAATATAAGATCCATTGAGAGGGACCTGTCTTGACATCAGGAGACTCAGCCTAAACAGATATTTTCTTCCTTCTCCTGCACAGCTGAAGGGGGCCAAAGAGGGGCACAACACAACTGTTGCTGAGGCAGCTGTAAGGTTGCTTCCCATGTTCCCCATCTCCCAAGGCAGGAGACAGGGTGCACAGGGCTGTGCAGCCTGGGCAGGAGCCATATCCATGTCTGGGGCCACCCAGAGATCTCTCTTTTCAGAACCTCATAGCAACCTACAGCTATCAAACCTCTGTTTGACCCATAGTTGCTCAGGGATGAAGCAGAGGGATGGAATGATGCAGGAGGTCTCTGAAAGCAGAGATCTGACAAAGACTTTAATGGTGAAGGTAGCTCTTGTCCTGAGCTCCCAATGCCTCTTAGCAGCTTAAGAGAGATACAGGTGGGAGATCAGCTCAGGGTGACACTGCCGAAGCTGTGTGCACTGCTGCAGCTGTAACACTGGCATGCGTGTCACCTGGTAGGGAGGATTTTGACTGAATGAAGTGGTTTCAGGCTGATCTCAGGCCCTCCCTTCTTACTGGCAAATTGATAAGTGGACTGTCATGAGAGTGCTACAAAGGTGTGGTGCCTGAGCACCTGAGCACTGTCCTTGGGGTACATGCCCAACTCCTCACATCAATGGTGCAAGGTCTGAACAGTTCTGAGTACCCTACAGCCATAATCCTGAAGGATTAAATCTCTTCTAGTTATAAATTTGCTTATCCTCAATTTTAATGTTATGTATATTCAACCTGAAGATGAAGTGTTAAATACTTCTTATGCCTTTCTGAAAGTCAAAATCAAAAGGCTGACCTAGAGAACATGGCTTATAAAAAATGAAAATAATAATAAAAAAGCTGATTTCTTTATGTTCATATTCTCATTTTTTTGAGTTTCTATGAATGAAGCTGAACAAACACAGGCTCTCAAGATTTTACCACTGAAAGGAGGGGTTGCATAGACGTGATAATCATAAGACTCCAGGAATTAGGTGCTTTAACATGTTGCTTCTGATTTCAGTGGCATGCGTCCAACAGTTTTAGACCAGGCCTCTTTTAGAGCTTGCAAGGGGGCCAAAACCTACAATTACAACTACAGATATACATCTCTCAATATGTTGTTAGTCACCAAAAACCCTAAACCACAGAGAGAGATGTTTAAAAGTCAGATGTCCTGCAGCTAAGTGGGGACTTTCTTCAGGAGCAAAATGAAGGTCTAAGTTTACCTCCTCCCTTCTGTAGCTGCTCTGCCTCTTGAGTGGGCTGAGAGAGAAGGCAGAGAACTGAGAGACAGAAAGCTTGAGTGTGTGAATGTGGGGGGTGTGAAGGGGTGTTCACTGAAGCACAACAGAAATTCCAGAGCTGTCCATCAGGAGAGGACAGACACTTCATGCAGAAAGATCAGGTGCAATTCAGGAGAATCACAGATGTTGAAGAAGAAACTTTTATTTCGGACAGTGGAGTGCATGTGTGCCTTTACCTAGGAAAGAAAAAGATTTGGAGAAAGAAGTAGAGCATGAGGGAAATGCTCAAAGTTCCTTGCCTAGCAGGGGAGAATGTGAAGAGAATGCCGAAACTCCTCACCAGCTTCCACAAAAGTCAGCGAGATTGGTGTGATATGCCTGTGATGAAGATGGAAAAGGGGTCTGTGGCTTTCTTAAAGAAGGTCAGGAAGACCCTTTCAGGTTCCCTTGCTTTCACAGAGGCAGCTACAAGTTAACAGCCACCCTAGTGCTGTGCTGTTTTCTGTTTGCTTTTTGTGATGAGAAATAACCTTCAGCTGAGTCAGGTAACCCCACCTATTGACTCCACATGCACAAAAGCTTTCTTGTGCCTTGCGTGGGTCCTGAAGGCACTGTGCATCTTGTGCAGGGCACATGCTGTACCGCTGACAGCATGCTGGCCTTTGCCAATGTGTATTCCTTCCATGGGATTTTAAACAATGGATCTCAGTGACTGATCTGAAACAGGGAGCTTTAAGCCAAATTTAGCAGCACAGAGTCTGAATCTGAATGAGAAGGAAGGCAGAGGGGTGTCTTTAGGATGAGGTTGCTCACAGGCCAGCAGCCCGAGCCAAGGGGAAGCCAAATGGTTGCAACAAGACTTCTTCAGCCTGTGGAGAGGTCGTGGTGCTGACGTCTCCTTTCACACAAGTCCTTTGGCCCTGCAGCTGTGGTGCCTGCTGCCAGGCTCGTGGCGGGGAGGGAGCCAGCCCCAGCGCCTAGGGTGAAGGGACACCATTTGTAAAAGTCACGCTGGTAAAGCAAAGGGACAAATTACTGTGATAGTCTCTGAAGAGATCTTGCACCCACTCTGGAGAACACTAAATCAGCTGCCCCAGAGGCGATACGTATCTGGGGCTTTTAGAAAAGCAAATAATGAACAAGCTCCTGAGCAGCTGCCGCTGGCTCCCAGCCGCAGCAGGCCGCAACCAGCCCGGTGCTGCGGGAGGGTGGGCAGCAGGCACCTGCTCACTGGGCCTGCGGGTGTCCGAGCAGGTTATGGGGCTGGGCAGCTGGCCCTCAATCCTCCTCACAGCGACTGAGAGGAATCTTCTGTTTCTTCTTCAAAGTGGGAAGCCAGCACACAGTATCTCCACTCCCTCCCCAGCCCCTCCACCAGCCAAGTGCATACCAGGCACAGGGGCTGGACAGCTAGGGCAGGAAACCTCCCTGGTGCCACCTGCCAAAGCCCTGCTGGCCGGTTGTTTTCCCCCACCAGCACTAAAATACTGGATTTTGGTGGGTGCAAATGCAGAGATGGATCCTGAGAGAGAAACCTTCAGGTCCTTCTCAGCGGCCTCTGTTTTGTTGTCTGGGCAGATACCAGAGCTGTTGTCCCATCTGTGGAGCTCTCAGTTTCTCCTGCTGTGGGTGGGGATGCTGAGAGCAGACCCCACAGCAACCTCCTTCAGCAGCGACATGTCCATAAGAGCTGGCAAATCTATTTTTTATTATTGTGTGGTAAGGGAGATACCCTGGGAACTTGCCTCCTCCAAAGCACTCACACCTTCTGGCAATGTCCTGGCAAACCGCATTGGAGGCTGGTCTTATTCCCCATCTGCCTACGATGGTCTGAGCATTTCGATGGGCTTTGGAAAGCTTTACCCTGACATTTGGTATTAATGAGCGCCTGTAAAACTCCTTCCAGGTTGCCAATTGTGGTTAAAAACCAGCAAGACATTGAAGCACAGCGTTAATAACATTTAGTTGTTTATTTTTGTAACAACAAGATTTTCAGGAGAAAATACAACACTTTCTTAGTGGAAATAATTAAAACCATGAAAATGACTGCATTTCCTGTGTGACTGACATATTCCATGCGGGAGAAAATGTTTCCCAGCAACAAAAAATACATTGTAGTGGCTCACATTTTTCTTAGCACTCCGCATCCCTTTCGTTAACAAGAACAACAGGCAAAGGGAACAACATGTTACACATTTTTAACAATTCATCACATAAGGAAGTAGCAACACCCTTTTCCCACAGAGCAGTGATGTAAAGGGCTTCCATTTTGGGGTACCTTGCTTTGAAATTCCTAAAAAGTGCCTGACTTCAGTCAGGAGGAGATGTTATCTTTCCGACACAGGCCCAATCCTTGCTATGGGGCTGCAGACAGGCAGGCACTGCACAAGGTGGGTCCTGGCCCTGGTCCTGGCCACGGTCCTGGTCCTGCCCTGGTCTTGGCCCTGGTCCTGGTCCTGGTCCTGGTCCTGGCCCTGGTCCTGGTCCTGGTCCTGGTCCTGGTCCTAGTCCTGGCCCTGGTCTTCCCCTGTGCTATTTCTGAAATGCATCCCCTGAGGCCAGCCTGGAGTTCAGCCTCTGCCAAACAGGTAGCCGGCTGAAATCACCCTGAGCACATGAAGCATTGTGCTGGGTGCTCATAAAGACATTTGAAAGGTAACTCTGATACATCTCTTCATCTCTTGCTGTTTCATCCTGCCTATTATTTTTTTCCTATGCTGATTCCAGAAGATTATTTCAAAAATAGACAAGAAAGGAATCAAGACATTAAAATTTTCAGTTTGGATAGAGAAACTGCTTTGCCATTTCCCACAAGGCAATGAACTGGATAACATTTTTTTCAAAACTTTCTGACATTCATTTATCATGACTTTATTTCAGATGGGCCACTTTCTTTCAAATGTGTAGAGCTGATATTTTTATGCTTTATTAAAAATTGGTACACGTGAAATATTTGAAGCACGCAGGAAAGAACAGGGTGTGATGGCAAACTGCAGATGTTATTCAGCAACTACTACATGTGGCTCTTTAGGTTACCCAGAAGTTACCAGACCTTTCCTTTTTCCTTTCATGTCAGGCTACACTGACATGAAAGTAAAAATATGAAGTAAAACACAGTTTTTATTTCATTTTCTCAGCTTATTTCTTTTTGTATTGTCCTTTCCAACCTCCCACTCATAATTTCAGTTTAAGTTTTTGCCAAAACATAATTCTAAAAGTTGCTGGCCCTGGCCATGTTGCACTTTTAAAGAGCCTTTTTAAAGACAATGCTAACAGAAGAGCAGCAGGAATAAATAGTTGTGCAGTGAGTCAGGTGTTCTTCAGGCACTGGAGGGAGTTGTGAAGTGCAATAAGCTCTGGACTCTATTATTTGTGCTATCAAAAAGGGTCAAGAACTTTTCTGAAAGACTTCTGAAGTCAGATAAAAATACATTGGTATAAATCACTACCTCTCAAAGAGTAAGAACTAAACACAAAGAGAATGACTTAGTAAGTAAAACAGGACTCAAAATGAAGAAAACTTGTGTTCTCAGTTCTGAAATGAATTTGATTTACATCATCAGATTATTTATTTCATTTATTTACTTGGTACTATCTATATATTGATATATTTAGAGTTATTAATTTGCAAAATGAGGCAAATTGCATAACGTAAGTACTGCATTTATGAAATTCATATTTATCAAAAGGTTTTTGCACAGCCAACTCTGAATTGCAATTCATTTACTGTATAACAGTAACAACAGTTTCTATATTCACAGCTCCTTAAGGATGGATCCTTTCATTTTCTGGAGATAGCTTTCTCTGTCTTTTTAATCAATTTTCCATTTCGCTGTGACTGGAATTTTGGCACATTTTCCCCCTTGCGTGTGGGTGTCAATGCGTCAACGCTAATGGGAAAGGCCACTAGTGCTTTTTTAGTTTGGCACTATTTTTCTGGAATAATTTATATATATATATATATGTATGTATGTATGTATGTATGTATATTTCTCTGTTTCCTTCTTTTCTGTCCATGCCTTTTTCCTCCTGTCTTCCTCTCAGCCTCCCTCATTTTGTCCCATGCTGGCTACCTTATGAAGCTAATTTGCAAACAGATTCAGATTCAGATTAACTTCAGCTGATGTGTCAAGCAATGCCATCCATAGTTTCACACCAAATCTTTATTTCCACATTTTAGAAGAAATGAATCAGGAGAATTTCATTATCCTCTTTCCACGAGCCATAAAATCTACAGGGAAATAAGATTTCTTTATTCAGCCTTGCATAAAAATGGCCTGAGAAAATGGATTCAGAAAGCCCTTCAGATCTTGATACATTCCTATTGGCATAATGCTGACTTTCCTGTCTCTCTACCATCCCAAATTTGAGTTATTAAATCACTGGAAACACAGACATATACGAATCAGTACCAAAGAATTTAGAAAAAAATGTGCACCCCAGCCTCACAGATTTTCCAGGCAGATTATCCAGCAATTTAAATGGGAATGTTATCTTTTTTTTCCAGCCTTATCGTGCTTCTACTTATAAACTCTTTAGTCAGTTTTGAAAGCAAAGAACTGATAAAATGTCAGAAAAGATGATTTCTTGCCAACTGCAATTGGACAAAACAGAGGAATCTCATGTCACTGTTACACTAATGGCTCGTCTCCTGACCCTCTCCTGTTTTTGGCTGTTTTATCCTTTCCAACCTTCTTTCTCTGAACGGCATGACCCTCTGCCTAGCCTTAAATTGCACAGTTGTGGAACAGCTGCTTATACTGCTTAGAGTGTTGTTGTTCGCCTCTGCTGGTGTCTGGTATTTTTTTCTGGAGCGCTCCCCGCTCCTGCTGTCAGCAGGTCTCATTGCCCACGCAGCAGGGAGAGGGACAGAGCGGTGTCAATGCTTTCCCACTTTGCAAATCCCCTGGCAGCGGCCCTGATGCCTTACTCTGTTTGTGGCTGTTGTACTGAACTTCTGTTTGGTTGTTGGCTTGTTCATTTCTGCTAGAAAACAGAGGGGCACAGGGTTTCAGGACAAGGATATTGGGGACGACCTGTGAGTGTTTCACCGTTGCTGTGTCTAATGAAATCCTTGTGCAGTTGCCTTAGCTTCCAGACTAGCACAAGCAATTTGCTTTCCTTCTGTCTGCTTTCACTGGCCACAACCAGCCTTTTTGCAGTCCTTTTTCTGGAACGCCAGTAAACATCAAAAACATTAACGCCTCAGCTTTCCAGCCACAACTGTGAAACCAGATGCCTGCACCTGCTGGGCTGTGACTCCTCACTATCAGCTGGCTACCAATAACGCCGCAAAAAATCCCTCCTGTCAATTCCACGCCATCCAGCAGACCTTAGCATAAAATACTTCACATTTCAACTCTCTGGGTATGTTTTTTCCCTTACATGAGGAAGTGTTTATCATCCTAACACAGTGTGTTTGGCATTGGGTGCAGCTGAGGGGGCAGAGCAAAGCCCAGGAGGCTCCTTGGTGCAGGGCCAGCGCAGCACTGCCATGGGCAGCCAGGCTTAAGCTGCCTGCAGAGTCCTCCACCCTTTCAGTGCTGCCAACACCCTCAGTGCCTTCTTTTTTGTCTGGCCATTATGGATTATGGCCTGTGCCCTGTACTGGCTTCTTGACCACACATGGGAGCTGGCTGCCTCCTGAAGTCACCACTGGAGCGAAGCTCTACCATTGCTGTGTGGCAGCTGGCACAAGCACCGTGAAATAAAGGGGAAGCTAGGCAGGGGAAATGGTCAAGGCTCAACTTCTGAGGGGGATGAAGATAGCACCAAACTCCAGGCTGAAACACAGTTGAAAGAAATCCCACTATTTGTCTAAAAGGAATTCACTGGTGTATTTAATGTTCACTATTTAAAGTTTCCTCAGCTCTGGATGACAAGTATGCTTCTTGGTGACAGGAAGGATGCAGCACTTGATGCTTTTAAAAGCACTTGATAAGCTTTTAAGTTCTTCCAAAGTATATAGGTGTTAGCAGCTGTACATAACCAGTATATTTATCTGGAGGACTACATTTAGAGGAGAGGTTTTGAACATTTAGAGGGCTGCAGTCACATTACACCTCTCACTTCTGTCAAAATTAGTAATAGCCTCTAGCTGTTGAAACTGATTCAGCTCACAGCTGAAGGACACTCTACAACTGTGAAGGGAGTGGAGACACATGCACAGGCAGTCTTGATACAGGTTTGCAGGACCATTTCTGGGTTGAATGAGGGGGAAGTGAGAGGACAGAGAGGCTGTAGTCCTTCACAAATGCGAGAAGGAGTGGTAGATACTTCTAGTCCTACAGATGCCATGCTGCAAGCTCGTCTTAATAATTTCACACAGTAGTTCCAATTTTCAGCAAAGCAGCCACCCATTAAGTGGATGGCAAAAAAATAATAGCAAAACTAAGGAGTCAGTTCTCAGATATCTGATTAGATGGGACATATTGTCTACATGGAAACTTCTGTAACTCCACAAGCACAAACTCAACATTTGAGAATAACTGAATAACCCCTGTGTTAAGACACCATGAGGTTGGGAATGTCTGTCATCAGTTCAGGCTGTTCAGGATGCCTCACATCCCACCAGGCATTCCTCCCGTCATCCTGCCAGACCTTGAGGAGAGCCAGCGAGCTTCTCATCCCTGTTCTGTGAAGCTGAACCTGCCATTAAACTCAACACTCAGCTGACCTCTCTTCTTCTCCTGGGTCCTCAGTAGGCAGTGAGAATCATGCACAGGACCAGTAAGTATCCACCTTGGAGAGCATCCTCCGAGGGCAAGCACCTGGACATGGCAGTTCTCTCACCCCTCCAGGACCATTGCACATAAAGATACTTGGGAAATGGGAACAACTGTGTAGATCCGGAGTTAACTGAGTTTCCAGAGAGGGGGTGCTTAAGCAGAACTGTGGGGGAATGGGCTTAAGTTGCACCAGGGGAGTTTTAGGTTGGATGTTAGGAAGAACTTCTTTACCGAAAGGGTTGTTAGACATTGGAACAGGCTGCCCAGGGAAGTGGTGGAGTCACCATCCCTGGAAGTCTTTAAAAGACGTTTAGATGTAGAGCTTAGGGATATGGTTTAGTGGGGACTGTTTGTGTTAGGTCAGAGGTTGGACTCGATGATCTTGAGGTCTCTTCCAACCTAGAAATTCTGTGATTATATGAGGAGGCTGGTTACACATCGCGTTGTAACACAGGAATCTTGTCACAGCTGGGTTTAATCTTTGGAAATACTTCCTCTCCTTCTGCAGCCTGGACAGCCTTTCATTTACTCCCAAACATCATAATGCTTTCTTTAAAGTTGACAGTGTTTGTTTGCATGTAGCAGATGATGAAGCAACGTCTCTCCGGAAGTGGCAAGAAATGGTTACCAGCCCAGCAAGCATCCCGTACCATCTGATGGGTAGGTATTTTACATGGAAAATATGTCACACATGAGAGCAGAGCTAGCCTGACTCACTTACCCCTACACAAAAGGTGCTGCCAAAACCAAACCCACTGGGACTGGTATTCCTGCAGCGTCCCCACTGCTCCAGTGTCTGAAGCTGAGAGGAACATAGCTGTCAGATGGGGAAGTAACAGCGTCTTTTGTCACATTTTCTTGTTAAGCAAACACTGATAAAATGCATATCATGTCTGCTCTACTTCAGGAAAAAATGTTTAGGACTTCCTGGAAATATTGCAAAAGCTACCAACTTCCCACCTCCCATGCTATCAGCAGGCATGAGTGTATTAAAACAAAGCAACCAAACCAAACAGCAAATCATGAAAGAAAGAGAACAAATAAGGAGCCTGCAGTGCTGCCAAATTATACAACAGTGATTCCCACTGGGATTAACTTGGACAATTTGCCTCACTGAGGCCAGTGGGTCTGCTGAGAGCACTCAGAGGCTCCTGCATCGGCTGCAGGAGCAGGAGCAGGGGTAGGAGCAGGATGGGGCAGGCAGCCCATGTAGGCAGCTCTCTTGCCCCTGCTGTAGCCTTCCCTGCTGGTGTGGTCCACCCCTGGCCACTGCTTCCACTGCAGCTGTTAGGGATGGAGCAGCCTCCAGCAGCTCTCAAAACCAAGCCTTCAACTTTATATAACTGAGACAATCTCATTTTTTCCTGCAGATAGTTGTTACAGAAGAGAGGGTGGCTTGCCCTTGTGTTTGCTTGTAAAATAGTGTGCACATCTATGCCATGAAAAACTCCTGGCTCCTACTTTCCCGGAGTGCAGAGGACTGAGACGGCTTTCATTCTTCTCTGCTATTTCTCAGCACAACTTGCTTGTGACTCACGAGAATGAAGTGACACCGCGTGTGTGCGTTCAGTGCTTGAACTTTAGCTGACACAGCAAACACTCCAAAGCCTCCCACCCCGTGTGCCTTCCCTATTAAAAAAACATGTGTGAGCATTAGGGAGAGCAACAAGAGGGAGATCCCTGAAGCTCGTGGGTAAGGAATGTGCACCGAGCTGTGCCTGAACGTCTGATGTCTCCAACTATTTGTTAAAGGCAAGGGCAATACTTCCGACAGACGGCCCTCCCCTCGCCTGCAATAGGCTCCCAAGAATAGCAACAGCCTGTGTCACTGGAAAGGGCAAAGCCTTCTGAAATAGCAACAAAGTTGTTCACAAACCACTTTGCGGTTCGCATTTGGTTTCAGCCAGCTTCGGCAACTTGTTGCCATGAGGAAAATAAGCCGGGCTGCCCTGGCTGGCCGGGGCAGGAGGGCTGCGCTCTGAGGGACCCGTGGCCAAGGTGCGAAGCAGGGCGCTGGAGCGGCGATGGTACCCGGGCAGAGTGCAGAGGACCTGGGCCAGCAGTGCCAGAAGATGGGAGCAGGGGAGGATGAGGAGGGCGGCAGAGGCAGCAGGCGCCTCCACCAGCTGCCGGCTGCAGCAGGTAAGGTGGTGGGGCCGGGGGCTGGGTGCTGCCGAGCAGCAGCATGCAGCTGGTGTGGATGTGGGAAAACCACGCAGCACGACCCGCGGACTGCGGGCATACATACTGCCTCGGTTTCCCACAGAGCGAGAGGGCAAATAGGGGAACGACAGCTTTAGTCTTGCATCAGGGCAGATGTGATACTTTTCCCTCAAGGCCCACCTTTCGTGCATGGGTTGTCTGTGGTGTAAATCCTTTCCTTCACGCAGATCAGCCACCTGAACAGAGAATCTGCCGCACCTGGGATAAGAGCAGTGCTCCAACCCTAGGGACTGAAGTCCAAGGAGGCCATGTGAGCAGGACACCTGCTCATGCTGGGGCAATTTTTGGGGTGGGGGCACAGGGACTCCCTGCTGTCTCTTCTACTCTAGCATTTCATGAGGGAGCAGGGTTTCTGTGCTGACACATGGAGAGATCAACGGCAGAATTTCTTCTGAAATGATTTTTGAGTGCTAAAGCTAGATTTCATATCTCTTCACTTTTGCTGTCACCCCCAGCCAGCATTTTTAAGTTACAGTGTGGTTTTGCAACTCGGGTCCTTTCTACTGGCAATAAGATCAAATGAAAATGACACACAAATGTGATGTTTCTCACCCACAAGATAGCTGTGCCCAAACAGGAAAGCGTTGTTGCAAGCCAGAAATTACTGTGATGTCCTGAGCAAGTTTTGTTCACGTAAAAATGAATGAACTGACTAACCAGTGCATGCTTAGATAGCACAGGCACAAATCCTTTGTCAGAGTGCAGTAACGATCAGTCCAGAAACATCTGCTGACACCTGGGAGCAGAGGAAGCAGAGGTTAATGAAGAACAGAAAGGCAGTTGGTGTGCAGACATATTTAACATTACCTAAGGGTATGGGGGAGCAGTGCAGATTGCTACAGGATGGCGTTATCAAAGGGAAGCACGGCAGTTACAATAAACAGGCAGCAAAGCGTTGTAGTGCGACGGCTACGATTAGAAGAGTATGTGCAAGTTACACACTTGGCCTTACCCTCAGAAATTAAAGCGTAACCTGAGAAATGCAGTCACATTGCTAAGAATTAAGAGAAGCTGTTGATTCTTACTGCAAAATAACAAAACAAAGCCTAGAAACCATTTACTGTAATGAAGGGCCAGGCTGCCTGTTGACATAATGAAAATGCATGGCAGAGCGCTGAGAGGTGGAGAGATGGCCTGGCTGGCTCTGCCCAGGCTCTGCATTGCCCTATCTTTCCATCAATTCCAGGACATTTTTGTTCATGAAGTCTCAATATTACACGATGCATTAATCAGACTTATGGTACATAAAGTACACAATACCTCCCACCATTGCAGGAATTTAGATGCAGGAGAATGTGTGATACATTAGTTTCCTTCTGCCTTTTTTTTCTAGCTCCGTTTACAAAATGTTTGCTTTGGGTTGGCCTTTCATACTTGGATGGCAGGAGTCATGTTTGTCAAAGAGCTATTCTGAAAAGGGGATAATCATCTGTGTTGCAGATTCAAATCTATGCAGTGAACCCAACTTATCATTATTTTCTCACCTGTGCTTATTAATCAAGGATTGACAGAGCTTGATTTCACCTTCCAAATGTCTAAACATATCAAAGAATCCCTCAGGATTTAAAAAACATATTCTCTCTTCCTGAAAGACAATGTCTTTCCATCCCAACTTGAGAAATTTCTCACCTCAAATTACACTGAAGTCAACAGAAGAAGGCACCATGCAGGAAGAGATTGTGAATTCCCCTCCTAGTAAAATAGATGCATTTGCACAGATTACATAAAGAAGTAATCTCCCCCTGCTCCAACTCAGTACGTTTTTCTATATACATCATGTTCTCTTGAAAGAAGGAAAGGGAAAACTGCACCAAAGAAACCTTAGTATCTGGACTGATGTGGAACATCATGCTGTCATGAGGATTTGAAAAGAGCAGACATCTCTCACAGCTCTTCTGCACATGCAAGGGGGAAAGAGCATTGTTTCCCAGCTTGAACTGCTGGCAAATCTTTCCTGGCACAGATCATTTATCCGTAATGCTCATGAAGCGCATGTGCAGAGCAAGTATTTCACCTTCAGAAAGGCTGCATTTTCCCAAATATGTTCTTGAAAGTAAATAGAAAGGAACACACCCTTACTAGCTTGGCCCCATCCAGTCCCATCAGCAGTACACTGCTATACTGCAACTGCTCTTGCTCTCCTTTTCAGGAACAAAGAATAAACATTTCCAGCAAACGTTCTTGAAGATAAGTTTGTTTGCCAAGTCGTGCTGCTTTTGACCTGAGTAACAGTTATGAAAAACCATTTTGTTTACATGGAGAAACTAAATAATAGACTTTCCAATCACTTGTCACATACCAGCCATGCACTCGTCAGCCATGGGGTTTGTTGCAGGCAGAAGGAGAAATTTCTCTGGAAGCCATCATTAAAATAGTTTGTTCCCTTGGGTTGCACACTGCCATGTATTTTGCAGGCATCTCATAAAAATAAGAGGAATATACATTTTAAGAAACTTTTTTTTTTTTTTAATGCATATGAACTGCCAGCAACTTCATTAAAAACGACACTTAAAAGGACTGTGAGTACAACTACTGCAGTATGCTTTATCTTGAATTGTTAAAGCAAAACATGCTGAAGTCAAAGAGAACTTTGTCTGGAGGAAGACCACAAAGTAAAACTGAGCAGAGTTTTCAGGGCTTAACTTAGCAGGCAGTTTTGAGCAGGCAGGTCTTAGGTACACCAGTTACAGCAAAACCTCCTAGTGATATAAGACTGTTTCTCAGCAGAATAATGCCTGGGAATGACAAGTTAGCTGCTGAGTCTGTTGCCATCATTGCAGGAAGAAAATCTGTCTCCCTCTGTATTACAACAGAACCTGCTTTCCACTCAGGGGTCCTCTTTAAATACAGCCCGCAGCTACTTCTATACCACTGTGGGCATGTGTAACCAGCAGACCAACAAGGGTACCAGCTGATCCAGTAAAATACAAACATGAAGACATCTGTCAAGGTGCTGCACTTGGAGATGCAAAAAGTATATATGTCCTTGAGTGCTTCCCTAGCAAATTCCAGGTATCCAAGCTCCACCCCCAGCTTGTAGAGTCTCTCTGATTAAAAATAAATAATCACCTCCATTGCATTGCTCTGAGGACCATGGGCTGGGGAGAGGAGAGTCTGGGTTATAAGGAACAGTGCTGGTGGCAGACTCCTTTAAGATATTTGAATTGCCACTGTCATTTTGAGTAAGAAACTGGAACCATACCAAACTGGCAGTTGCACATTTAAAAAATTAAAAGCTGTGCAGGACACAGAGCTCAGAGCAAAAATAGGAGACACAGCCCAGGCTGTGTCCTTAAAGTTTTTGTCCCATTGTTATTTAACATTTTTCTTAGTTACCTAGAGGATTTGAGGGTGATAAAGGTAGTAGGTGGTTAATAAATGAGATATATTACTGGTTGAATGAACTTAGGATGGCTTGGCCTGTTGACTGCAAGCAAATATCATGTCTGGGGTTCCTCTCAGCTAACTTTAGACATCTGCATCTGAGCAAGCAACACAGATTCCTTTTATAGTCAATGAAGAGAAATAGGCATCTGACCCATTTCAAATATCTAGAAGTACCTACTTTCTGCAAATGGTTACAGAAAAAATCTAGAGATGCTGCCTTTCTCTCAGTTAGGAAACTTGAACACGCCCTATGTGTTTTAACACAGCCAAACACCAAGTAACTTTAATTCCTGGTTAGGATATAAAAGGTTAGGCCATATCCAAAGAAAACACACTGAGTGCCTTGGAAAGAACTTGGTCATAGAAGAAATGGGTTGTCCTGGAGAGTAACTAGCTGAAAGTGAGCTCCTGTACACTGCTCTGACAATCATTTGATCGGTACTGAGCGAAATCTCCACCAGGAGCAGGACAAGAATTGAAAACTCCAATTTGGCACTGTGCAACCACTACAGCAGCACTGGATCCAGTTCCCAATTTATTAAAATTGATAATCTGGAGAGAGTTCAGAGAACAAAGCTTTGAATACTTAAGGGACTGGTAAACTTGTAAAGACTCACAGGCTAAGTAGTTTATCCAGGAGACATCTGTGCGATGACTTGATGACAGGCTGTAATTTTGTACTCAGTGAACAAAGCTACATGCAGGCAAATGGAGAGTGAGATCTGATGACTGGAAGTCAAGGCTGCAGAAATCAGGTCTAGAAATAAATTATAGATAATTTGAAATAAAAGCAATTAACCATTGTCACAATGTACGATTTAGAGTCATTGGTTTTCAACCACTAGCATTTTCTAAATCAAAGCTTAATATTTTTAATGACCTATTTCAAATAAAAATACATTTAAATGTGTCCAAAGGGTTATGTTGTGCTGTTCATGAGTATCAGACCAGATGACTACAATGGTCTCTATTGGCTTCATAATATACAGATTAATCCAACAACTTAGGTTAAATGTGTCAATGATGAAAATGCAGGGCTATCCAAGCAAGCACTGGTATCAACACTGAGCAGAAGTCTGGGCAGAACACTGTGATAAAAGTAATACAACAGTGTTGTATCATCATCTCTGATTTTTGGTCAGGGTTTATTGGAAGTGTACACTTTCCAGAGCTAGTAATGCACAGCAACCAGGCAAGTCAAAAATAGAAAGGGGAGGGAGAATTAGTTTTTGCAATGATAAAACAAATATTGCATGTGTACCTTGCCATAACCCACGTACTAACCTCTGTTTAAAACAAGTGCCATGCTCAGCCACATACACAACCGTGTGTCTTTTACAGGTCTCTTGCCATCTGTGGCCTGCCCGCCAGCCTAGTGCAAGGGGCAGTGTGGGCTGAGGCGTACTGGGAGTGCTCAATAACATGGGGCTGCTGCCTGGCTCAAAGAGAGCAAACCGAGGGTCAAGCAGGAGAACTGATAGGCAATACCCGTCTTTAATGGGTTTACACATATCCTCTGGCCCTGGAGGGATGGATTATGCCCACACTAAGAGCTAAGCTCTGCTGCCCTCCGAAATAACCTGGCCTCCTGTGGGCTGGCTGCAGGGTGTGACGGTGGCCTTGTGCCACCAGCCAGGCCGTGTCCAGGAATTGTCAGCAGAGCGCGAGGTGACGTGGGGCAAAATCATGCCAGACACCATGCCAACAATGCAGTTGGATACATGGCTCCCTTCCAGGGTCGGGGCCTGGGCTCTGGCATTGTTTGTTTTAGTAGTACAGATATCCTGTTAGGCCGCTCTGCGCCTCCCCTTGCCTGGTTTTCTTCAGAAATGCAATATCCTCTCTTAAATGGGACTGATCCTCGCCAATGTGCTCAAAAGTTACTGGCAAGGTACTTTCAGGCAGTCAGCATGATCAGAGAGCCTTAATGCCTTAGAAAAATAAACTAAAAATAAACAGTCTATGCTTAATTTTCTGTTGGGCTGTATACCACTTTCCAGCCAAGCTGGAAAATACTTGCTGCAGGAGAATTGACTGAAGTATGGACTCTGTTATGCTGCAAAAGCTACCTCTCCTCAGACACATGCTATCTCTCCAGCTAAGCAGGAAATCAGAAGTCAGTTTACTCTTCTCCTAGCTGTGTTGCAGCCAACATCATGGTGAGAGGAAAATCACACTGGGAGAATGAACAAGACCAACAATAACAAACTAAATATTCCTCAAAGTTTAGGGTGCAAAAGGCTTCACAGTTAGTAGAACAGGATCAGTTAAATCTATCTTGTAACAATAAACAATGTATCATAGTTGCATAAAATGAGTTTATTTTAAAGTGGATGTTCAAAGGCATATAATCTCCATTTGGTTTAGGTTTTCACCATCTGTTTTTTATTCCTGACATTGTGGCTGACCTAAACTATGCAAAATATCTGATCCTGATATTCCAAAAAATCTGAGATGACTGATGAGCAAAGCCCAGATAGTTCAGAAATTTGTACCTCAAAGATTTGTTTCCCTCAAATATCTTGGCTGTCTGGATCAGCCTGTTTGTCAGAGCATATGTTTTAATATGGCAAAGAAAAAGAAATCACTGGTACCAGCAGCCATCATGGCATCTTCAGATGAAGCAAAGTAAGTGGTGAGGGGTTATCATACTACTGACTGAAATCAAGGTTGAAGCAATTTGGCTGGAAAATTATTGCTTTCATTGCCCATAGTAGACTGGTTGGGTGGACAAGAGTCCCTCAACTCATTACATGAAAAACCCTGAGAATGCCTCAAGGCAAAAATTGCTTTCTTACCAGAAGGTTACACTGTCAATACTGCCTTTTGCAATAATATTCTGCAGTAGAAGATCTAATTATTTAGGGCACAACCAAAATCCTATTGACTTTTGTTTAGGAAGATGAGGAAACTAAAAACATTTATTATTATGATATGCAATCACATGAACTAAACATTATATAAAGATATTTTATATATATAAATACTAATAATTATAATAATTATTAATAATACTAATACTAATATATATATATATATATATATATATATATATATATATATATATACTCTTTTAAAAAACAGCATTGTATATAGCCACTGCTGCTGGGTTTGTATGTACCTAACTTCTGCCTAAAAGCAACGAAACATTGTTAGGGCTGGTATACCAAAAAAAATTATTACTGGTTGTCAGAATGTTGCAGAAATCACACTATCAATTTCTTTTTCTCTCTTATTTCAGGCTGTGGAACATTTACATTTCTATCTTCTGCCATTGCTGCTGTAAGTGGACTTCTGATGGGTTATGAGTTAGGCCTTATCTCTGGAGCACTTCTTCAGATGAGCAGCATATTAGCACTCTCTTGCAAAGAGCAAGAAATTGTTGTAAGTTCCCTTCTTTTTGGCGCCTTATTTGCATCCCTTACGGGTGGATTCCTGATAGACAGATTTGGAAGGAGGTTTGCAATAATTATTGCATCTTCTTTACTTGTGTTGGGAAGTCTGATTTTACTACCCTATGAATCGTATGGGATACTTATTGTGGGACGGATTGCCATAGGTATTTCCATATCATTATCATCAATCGCGACATGTGTATATATTGCTGAGATTGCCCCACAGCACAGAAGAGGCCTTCTCGTATCATTGAATGAACTCATGATTGTGATAGGCATTCTCTTTGCCTATATTTCAAACTATGCATTTGCCAGCGTATCTCACGGCTGGAAGTATATGTTTGGCCTTGTGATTCCATTAGGTGCCTTGCAGGCTATTGCGATGTATTTTCTTCCTCCAAGTCCTCGGTTTCTTGTCATGAAAAATAATGATGAAGCCGCAAGAAAAATACTGGAGAGACTACGGGAAACTTCAGATGCTACTAAAGAACTCACTTTGATCAAGTCTTCCCTGAAAGACGAACATCAGTATAGTTTCTTGGACCTGTTTCGTTCAAAGAACAACATGAGGGCCCGAATGTTGGTGGGGCTCACACTAGTCTTTTTTGTGCAAACAACTGGGCAACCCAACATTTTATTCTATGCATCAACTGTTTTGAAGTCAGTTGGGTTCCAGAGCAATGAGGCCGCCAGTTTGGCTTCTACTGGAGTTGGAGTGGTTAAAGTGGTCAGCACAGTCCCAGCCACGTTTTTTGTGGATCAAGTTGGAAGTAAAACTTTTCTGTGTATTGGCTCTTCTGTTATGGCAGTATCATTGGTCACAATGGGCTTAGTGAACCATAACATACACGTGAACTTCACCAGTGTCTGTAAAAGCCAGTCTCTAGAGGATTCCTACCTCCAGAGACCAGGAAACCTCACTGGTGTCACCAATGGGAGTCTCAAGGACCTCTTCTCTAGTATGGCTTCACCAGAAAGACTCTCCTTCGACACACAGAGAAACCCTGATGTTGCCAGGACAGGAGAACTGAACAGGACTACCCTGGCAGAAGGCAAAAGCATGATGGCATCTCACACAGAAAGTGGGGAGGTTCCCGTTGTCCTGAAATGGCTCTCACTGGCCAGCCTGCTTGTTTATGTTGCTGCCTTTTCCATAGGTCTTGGACCAAGTAAGTATTTCTTTTTTTTTTCTAATTCTTTGGAATGATTTACTTAAAAGTGATTTAAGTGCTGGGATGACAGTGTTTTCTGCTAATACACATCGGCATTATCACAGACTGTCCTGGTGGGCCCAAGGTGTACTTTTTGGGAAGAGGTCCTGACCATTTAAGGTCAATGGTCTTATCTCCCTTCAGTTCAGTGAAATTAACTGTTCACCTCCAGTGAAGTCAGAAACTGGTGTGAGCTTTGTCCAGCAAAGTTACAGGGCTCCTGCGTATTTTTCCTTTTCGTGTTCTGTAGTGTTGTTACACAGGGAAGGTGAAGATGTAGGCATTTTCTGCTGCTAACCCATAAATCCAAGATTATGATGAGCTCTCGACCTCTGCATGGTAAAACATCATTAAATCCACAGAACGGCAGCGTGCCAGAGTCCTGTTGAGGATCTGGCCCCCAGACTGTATAACAGACTTCAGATACAGTTAGGGAATATAAAGCATCATAGTTCATGAGCAAATGTAAGTATCGTCATCATCATCACTACCCGTGCTTCTATGAAATGGAAGAACATGAAGGAGAGTCACTGTGCAATGGAGGCGCTCTTGCAGCTGCTGTCACACTTGCTGAGGAGACACTTCTCCTGAGGAGAACATTTCTGCCGTTCCCAGGCACTAGGAACTAAATCCCTTCATTTTGTTTTGTTTTGTTTTGCTTTAATAGCACTTGCATATTACTGTACTTTGAAGGGGTTGATTTTTTTAAGCCACATTGCAAAAAGCACCTGCACAGAGTCCATTATTTATTAACTGACTTCATGTGCTCTTGTGCCCTGGCTCAAACTTGACTTGCAAACACACTGTACTCCTGCTGCACTATTATGATGAAAAGCTTCCACAAGAATAAAGCCCAACAATTGCACTAACAGCAACTCTCCCCTGCAGTATTTATTTTAAACATTGCTCACTGGGAGAGCTGCGTGAGATAAACATCCATTGCCAGGGCAGCAAGCTCGGCTGTGTTATTGCAGCATTGTTTCCTCCCTTGCAGACCATCTTGGAGCTAGATTCTGCTTTCAGTGACACAAGTCCAAAACTAGGGGTGCAGCCCTGAAAAGAAAATGTTACTTTAGCTTTTCCTTGGGTGTTTCAAAAGCACAGTTAATGACCCTCAGGGCAGGAGCACTGCTTCAGGTTTGGACTGAAGTTTTGGGCTCTTGCTGAAATCAGCTTTCCTGTTGACCTGGCCGTAAATGTGCTCCTGGTCATTTGGGCAGGCCCGATGTGACGCTAGTGATAACAATGTCTGCTTCCTTGGGGGCTATGGAAACCAAGGTGTGTGCCAGGCTAATCTGAGAAGTCTTTGAGGCCCGTGTTTGTTCTCTGACCTCTTTCTTGACTGAAAGCACAAGTCAAGAAAGTCTCAAACAGCAAATGGGGAAAAACAGGCACCATCTCGGCTTCAGCTTGTTAAAATCATGTGCAATTAAGCCATGATGCATCTGCTTAGCAAGTGAAGGCCGGGGCCAGGAGAAATACAGGTATTTCAAAACACAAACACACATTTGCAAGACAATTCCCTGAATTTAAAAATACAGTATTCATTTAAAACTGGCAATGCATAGAAAACACAAGGGTAAGAAAATCAAGAAGTTGTTGGAATCTGCAAAGGATCTCTTGTGGTTGGGCAGTCTGGGTTGGGAAGGAGGTTTTGGTTTGTTTCTCATATTCAGCCTTCAACATCTGTTGCTTGGAGTCCAAATCCTTGAATGTATTTTAAAAGCCTAGATTTCTTATCCTCAGTGTGCCTTTCTTAGTGCAAGGAATAAGTGGGCCCCTTCGCCTATATAAAGTAAACAGTTTTAACATGTTTATGTTATTCATCTCTAAATCTGGTCTGTGGTCTGGACCAGACCAGTTGCCATTGTCTGCTCTGCAGAGAGAGGAGACATTGAGGTTACAGCGCTGCTTCCAGTGCTCACCGCCCACCACGGCCAGGCGATGCCTGGGGACAGAAGCACTGAAACCAAGCACAGTTGTATTTTCAGTGCTCACATCTCCTGCTCCGTGCTACATCTGCCTGTTCTGCTGGCTCAGGTGGCAGCAGTGTTGGGGATGTGTCTGTTTGTGATCTAAAGGTCCCAGCAGGCTCTTCTGGACAAACAGCAGAGAGGTTCTTGTTCTTCCCCTCTTCTCCACTGGGCCGCTTCTGGAACAAATTCAACCACTTTATTTTGAGTCCTTCTAGCATGATGTTTTGCAGGGATAAAGGAGAGCCTGTGTAGCACCATTAGGTAAATGGCACACTCTTCACAGGGCAGAGCTTGCAATCTGAGCTCTTTTTATAAATTATTTTTTTCCTTTTATTTTCTTTCCTTTTTGGGGGGGGGATTCTAGTCAAAGAGCTAGTTGCAATCCAGATTTGCACAGCTGGCATTTGTAAATGTTGCATTTTTCCATGATTCCTCCTTTGCTTCCAAATTACATTAAGTAGATAGATTTTTTAATGAACCAAAGATATGCTAAATATATTTATTGCCATTTATCAAAGCACTCAGGCAGCACGCTGATGAGTGCTCAAAAACAGACCGTGAGCAATAAAAGCCATTTCTACATTACAAAAGAATTCACAGGCAGGTGAGCATCTGTTTAGTTACTTTTTTTGATTCAGGGGTGCTCTGTGTTTATATCATCAACCCCTAGGCAAGATAAAAGGAGCATTTCTGTTGCTCTGTTATGGATTAATTATGTTTGATGAAATGTGATCCAACTGCTTGTTCACACTCAATTTCACGCCATCATAAGGACGTTTTGTAGGTGCAACAAATGAGTATTGCATCATGCCGCAGAACAGCACATGCTGTTTCTCCAGTGGTGTTTGCAGGAGCACCTCCAGGTGGGAGGTGCACAGGGGACTCACTTGACACACATCTTGACTAGCACAGGGGACTCACTTGACACACATCTTTGTCTTGAGTTACCTTTGCTTTATATCAGAAAAGTGACACGAGGATGAATTTTTCTCAGTAGGGAAAGATATCTGTGGAGCCCATGAGAAATCTCAATCTGGCTGCTACGTGAAGGGCGAGGAACACGAAGGGCTCTGTGCTGCATCCAGCGAGTGTTTGCAAAGAGGCTTGCTGGGGCCACAAGAAGTCAGCCTCACAGAAACAGCCTTGCCATGCCTTGCACAAGGAGCAGTGAGTGCAGGCAAATGGCATGAGTGCAGTGTGGAAGTAGATCACCAGTGCGTCACTGAAGCTAGGTGTGGCCCTGAAAATTTGTTTAACATAAAGAAAACACAGAGAAATTCTTCTAGTCAGGGCCAGGCACACATATAACCATTCACTAAATGGCACAGAATTAACTGAAATAGTTGCAGAGTATCTCATTTGCAGGTTGTCTGCTCAAAACACTTGGGGGGAGGGCAAAAATAGTGGTCCTTTCTTATAAAGAAGTGTCACCTCCTTCGTGGATCACCACTGTATGGTGGAACATACCAAAATGCAGAAACCAGGAGAGCCAAACTCCTGGAGTATCAGACTTATTTTCCAAAATAAGTCTGTAAATGTGGGACTCTTGGAGTCAGATGGAGCATATGCAAGAGAGTTGTCTTGCTTAAGAACTGTAGGGCACCTTCAGCATTTCTGAAACAGAGCAGGTGGCCAGAACCCTGATGCTTCCCTCAGTGACTCAATGAAAATTCAGATTTGGGTGTCAGATGATCTGTTCCTTTTGCATCATTAGGATCAAAAGCTAAATATCACTCATGCATGGACAACTTGCTTCCATGTTTTCCTATATATCAATGGAGGTCTTTGCAAGCATAAGCCCAGGGTTTTGACACTGGGTGACCTCACCAATGAGCTGGTGAAAGAGAGATGTAACGCATTAATACAGGAATGCAGTGTGCTCTGGAACTAATCCTCTCCATCCAACAAATATCAGAGGGGCTCCAACAAGTCCAGGGCCCGGAAGGAACTCACTCAGCACTAACACAGACTGGACCCAAAGGGCATCTGTTTCTCAGGCTTGAATTTGTTCTAGCAGAAAAAATATAAGAGCAAAACAGGACCTCCCAGTGGTTTCTTTACAAATCTCAGGTATCTCTTCACATATAACACAGGAGTCCTGCATGCAGTTCAAGGGAAGAGATCCATGCAGATCACAGGGATTTTTTTTTTTAACCATGGAAAGGGGAACACTTTTATTGAGAGAGGGATGTTGAATGCATGCATTTGGATTGAGTCTATGGCATTGGTGCCTTGTTCAAAAGAGTTTTTTCTTCCTCCTCTGTCAGTCCTTAGAACACATTTCTGTACAACTGCAAAGTTATTTAGGCAGCTGGCCAATGAATGTCAGGATAATCTGCTGGTGCAAATTGCATCAGCTCCGCTGACATCCCTGACGTTCATGCTGAGAGTGTGGAAATCAGTGAAAGTACTTTACACGTAGGACTGAGGGGCATTTTTTTTTGACAGAAGCCATCCTCAAAACCATTTAGATGCATAAAGTCCATAGGTATTTATCTCTTTGTGGACCCATGGCAGAAAATGATGTGTTACTGCATGTCCCTGAGCAGCAGGCAGCTTTGTGCAGCTCTCTGGAACCAGAGGCTGAACTCTCAGAGCAGTTTTCCTGGAGGCCATCACAGGATCCTCTTCCGGGAGACTTCTCAGAGCTGCTGGGATGCCCTGACCCTGAACACTGAAAGCCCACCCAGCACACACACAGCTGTGGATGCCACACTCCCAGCAGGGATCAGTGCCTGCATCTGGAGGAATGGGGCTTGGCATAAAAAAAAAAAGATACATATATCCATCTAGATAGATATAAAATCTAAATATATGTATATAGTTCTGTGATGGACAAATAAATGCATAATGGGCTCATGGGGGAGGATTTAGAACTTACGGAAACCTTGCTTTTCTTCATCTCTCTTATAGTCCCATCAAAGCCCAGCTCCTGTAAGTACGTGCTTGTAGGACTAGCAGTACTATGGTATTGATTAAGAC